ACTCCTCGTTATTCCCACGACTCATCTCTATAAAAAGACAAATATACTTGACTGTATGTTTAAACTTGTACGTTGTTTCTACATAAATATACTGGCCCGATGAGAATTTATTGAGAGCACTTGTATGCTCATCAAATGCTCCTCGCAGTTTGCTTCTATTTAAGAGCACTCGAACTATCAGGTGAATCTTATTTTCACCGTTCTCTCAAGTAGCTTTTTATCTAGCTATATGCCATAAAGGGGTAACCACTCAACTTAAGTAGCGTTCTTAAGCTCCATCTATTTCTGGGGGGGGGAGGCGGACTGTTTATGCATAAATGTTTTGAGAAAATTCCGATTCGCTGACTCGCTGGGCCTCCAGTAAAGTCTGTCTCGCTAAAGTGCTGGTCATAAATTTGAACAGTAGGAAGCAAAAAGGAAAACCTGATCAAAGCTGATCTGTTTACCTGACAATGACGACTTCTGAAAGAGCAAGGTCCCTGCCATTGATCTGTGCGATAAAAATGCTGGCCACTGCCTCATAGAGAGCGGTTCCGTCCATGTTGATGGTGGCTCCAATGGGAAGCATGAACCGCGTGACGCGTTTATCTATGCCCAGATTCTCTTCCAGACAGCGAAATGTAATCGGTAGGGTCGCTGCACTGGAAGCTGTGCCAAGGGCCGTTATCCACGCCTGGAAAAAAATAAGTGAATGCGGATGTTTTTTGCTTAATCGAAAAATATTTTGCGGTATCTGCTTACTCAGCTATGGTCGGGCTTAAAAAAACACCCTATGTTGCTCTTGGTTGGCATGAAACGAAGTAATATATATACAGGGTGTCCCAAAAAAATGTATACACATTTCGAGCAATTGTAACTTTAAGTTTTATGATAATTTTATAAGTTCAAAAATGCAAAGGTATTAAGAAGTATTATTTTATTGTCTTTCCACTGAATTTTCACTATATTTCAAATAACTGAGGATGAGAAAAGCCATCGAACATGAATGTGCCCAAATACAAATGGACTTGTTTTCTGGCGTGTGCGATTCCATTGCGTCGCACTGTCAGCGGCGTGTGGATTAAGTGGATGTCATTTTGAGAACATACAGTGAGACAAAAATAAAATAATACTTGTCAAGTGTTTTACACTTTTTAAATAATAAAAAATACAAAAATACTAAGTTTACAGTTATTTAAAATGTGTATACATTTTTTGGGACACCCTGTATATATATTTATATATTTTGTACAGTTTTACCCCTCAGAGAAATATAAAATGTAACCATCTCACCCAAGAGATAAAAAAGTAAAAGGAAAAAGAGTACAAGTTAGAAACAATCTTATGCAAAACGACGTCCGCCTTTTTCGAAAAAACCCTAATAATCGCTCAGAAAGTTTCCAAATTTTGCAAATCTGCAAATTCGACGTACTGCTGAATGACTTTGTCGATAAAACCCTCGGAGTGACAATGTCTTTTACATGAAAACGACGACGATCCATGCTCAAAACTTATCTAAACAGAGGCGTAACCTGATACACCATATAGGCTGCGCAAGTACATCATGTAGCTGTCAGCTAGTCACTTCTAAAAAGCCCGCGATTGGGCAGAGCATTCGCGCACCAAGACCCGAGAACAACTAATCACGTAACGGGTCACTGCCTAGCAGAGCTCGAGTTGAACATTAGAGGGTGCGCGAGCGCGCGCAGACGCC